GGGCCACCGCGCCTGGCCTGCCCCACTAATTTTTTATTTTTTTAGAGATGGGGTCTTGCTTCGTTGCCCAGCCTGGTCTCAAGCAGTCCTCCCACCTTGGCCTCCCAAAATTCTGGGATTTGTCTGAACCACCGTGCCCAGCCTGTTGATTTATTTCTGTTACAAGCAGTGACACAACTAGAATCAAGTTAGCGTGCATCTGTAGTCCCAGCTACTTGGGAGGCTGGGACAGGAGAATTGCTTGAACCCAGCAGGTGGAGGTTGCTGCTCCCCCATTTTTTTTGCCTTGTTCATAATCACAGATGAGCCCTGCTACCATAACCACTGCGTTAGTTCTGGGTCAGAACATCTGGGTTCTAGGACTTGGAAGCATCTATTTCTAGATGTTGAAGATATAAGTGCAAAGGGGGCTTGCAGCCCTTGAGAAACACGGATCACCTGACTGGGGCTTAAAGGTTAGGGTGGTTTTTTTGAGATGGGGTCTTGCTCTCTTGTCCAGGCTGGAGTACAGTGGTGCAATCTTGGCTCCCTGCAGCCTTCACCTGCTGGGCTCATGCAATCTTCCCACTTCAGCCTCCTGAGTAGCTGGGACCACAGGCACATGCCACCAAGCCTGGCTAATTTTCTGATGTTTTTGTAGAGACAAGGTTTTGCTGTTACCCAGGCTGGCCTAAAACTCCTAGGTTCAAGCAATCCTCCTTCCTTAGCCTCCCAAATTGCTGGGATTATAGGCATGAGCCACCTCACATAGCTGGGTTAGGATTACAGGCATGAGCCACCTCACATAGCTGGGTTAGGATTACAGGCATGAGCCACCTCACATAGCTGGGTTAGGATTACAGGCATGAGCCACCTCACATAGCTGGGTTAGGATTACAGGCATGAGCCACCTCACATAGCTGGGTTAGGGGTTTTGTCAGATCTTCAGTTGACACTGCTGAGATTGAGGCAGATTCTCTCATTTCATGGAGAGGAGGCCAGAAAGAGGCAGAAAACAAGCTGGCAGAGCAGTCACAGACAGCCCTAGGACTGGAAAAGCCCGGATTTCTCACTTGAGTATCCTGAAGAAAAAGCTTTATCATCCAGGTGCAGTTAATCATAGCATTCCCTGGCCAGGCGCTTGGGATTCGAAGTGTAGTCCCAGCACTAGGAGGCCGAGGCAGGCAGATCACTTGCAGTCAGGAGTTTGAGACTAGCTTGGCCAACATGGTAAAACCTTGTTTCTACCAAAAATACAAAAATTAGCCAGGCGTGGTGGCACACACTGGTAGTCCCAGCTACCTGGGAGGCTGAGGCTGGAGAATCGCTTAAACTCAGGCGGTGGAGAGTGCAGTGAGCTGAGATTGCGCCACTGCACTGTAGCCTGGGTAACACTAGAGTGAGACCCCATCTCAAAAATAAATAATAATAATAGCACACCCCTTCACTGAGTTTTGAGTGTCCTCATTTGGCAATACATTCTATGGTCGTTCGTTATCTATGCTCCACCTCTGAAATAGGGAATCCTTCCTTTCTTTCCCTGAATTGGAAAGATAAAGATTGTGAAGATAAAGAACTTAGATTCAGAAATCAGTGACAATACTTCTATAAATTGGCTGTGTGACCCTTGAGAAGTCATTCCATTTCATTTTTTTTTTTGAGATGGAGTTTCGCTGTTGTTACCCAGAGTGGAGTGCAATGGCACAATCTCGGCTCACCACAACCTCCGCCTTCTGGGTTTAAGCAATTCTCCTGCCTCAGCCTCCCGAGTAGCTGGGACTACAGGCACGCACCACCATGCCCAGCTAATTTTTGTATCGACAAGGGGTTTCACCTTGTTGACCAGGATAGTCTTGATCTCTTGACCTCGTGATCCACCCGCCTCGGCCTCCCAAAGCGCTGGGATTATAGGCGTGAGCCACTGCGCCCCGCCAAGTCATTCCATTTCTATTAAAAAATGACCAGCAGGGCCAGGTGAGGTGGCTCATGCCTGTAATCCCAGCACTTTTGGAGGCCGAGTCTTGTGGATCAGGAGTTCGAGACTAGCCTGACTAACATGGTGAAATCCCATCTCTACTAAATTAGCCAGCCGTGGAGGTGCGTGCCTGTAGTCCCAACTACACAGGAGGCTGAGGCAGAATTGCTTGAACCCAGGAGGCAGAGGTTGCAATGAGCCAAGATCGTGCCACTGCACACCAGCCTGGGCAACAGAGCAACACTCTGTCTCAAAAAAAAAAAAAATACCAGCAGGTTGACTTTAGCCTTTCCAACTAATTCTCTAAGTAAGTTAGTAAAGTCACAGGACAGGAGCTTCCTAGGAGTAGAAGTATCAGATAATGACCGCATCACCATTTGTAAATGCAAGGAACACAAACAGGCTGATTGAAACCCGATCTCCTGCCGCCTGGAAGCTGGGAATCCCTCAGCCTATTACCTCCTTCCATCTCCTCCTGGCTTTTAAATTAAATCTTATTCCACAGTGACATTCTACACTTTATTTATTTACATGCTGCCCTGTTCCAGAAAGGATTTAACTTGGCTTATTCTATAGTTAGCCACAAGTAGACTCCTCAGGAAGAGGTGGACCTACTGGCCTACCCAGAGCACATCTGAATCTCACTGTATCAGCCCCGAGCTAATACACGCCACCAGCTTGGAGGGGAAACCACCCACCTGACCCCAAGAGGCACTAGTTAGCACCCCCGGCTTCACAGGCCACTGCACAGCCACCTCCTCGGCTGTGGCTTTTCTCTTTTAACCACCAAGTAGAAAAATGGCCTAATGAAGTACTTCTTCCTGAAAGCAGGACTCGCCTTTTAGTGGTGCCAAGGCTCCCTGGGTGACCTTAGATTCTGGATTGTACAAGCCTTGATGTGAAAGGTCTTTTGCGCTTTGTGCCTCCTGTCCTCTCATCTGTGAGATGAGAGCCATGTGCACCTTTAAGTCACACAGATTAATAAGTACATCTGCGGAAGCACCTTGGAAAAGATGCGTAAGAGGCTGTGACCCCTAAGCTCCAGCTGACTGTTTGAAGCTGGAGCCTGTCAGAGCTCAGCCCAGTCCACCCACCCCCAGACTAGGTCAGACCATCAAAAGCAATGGAAGCTTGGCACTGATTATCCAGCTATATAAAAGAAGAAAGGAAGAAGAAGAAGAAACAAGAAGAAAACTAGGCGCAGTGCCTCATGCCCGTGTAATCCCAGCACTTTGGGAGCCTGAGGCAGGTGGATCACAAGGTTAGGAGTTCGAGACCAGCCTGCCTAACATGGTGAAACCCTACTAAAAATACTAAAATTGGCCAGCTGTGGTGGCCTGTGCCTATAATCCCAGCATTTTGGGAGGACAAGGTGGGTGGGTCACTTATAGTCCATAGTTCGCAACCAGCCTGGCTAACGTGGTGAAACCCCGCCTCTACTAAAAATACTAAAATTAGCCGGGCGTAGTGGCAGGCGCCTGTAATCCCAGCTACTCAGGAGGCTGAAGTTGCAGTGAAGTGCCACTGCACTCCAGCCTGGGCAACAGAGCAAGACTCTTTCAAAAAAAGAAGAAAAAGCGAAGAATTGCTGCAGTCAGTCAGCTGGAAATGGGCGGGCAAACCTGGGGAACTACTAATGCCTGCCTGGCTATGCCACCCCTCGGATCTCAGCGTGTATGTCCAAGCCCACAGAAGAGGGTGGGGAAAGGGAGCTGGGGAGACCAAGTTACTGCAAAGGGTAGCATCCTTCCCCGGGGGAGCTCAGGGATAGGGAGGTTGGGCCCCAACGAAGGAGGGAAATCAGGTTCCAGGGTATGTGCATTGGGGTAGAAAACCAGCAGCAATTGGTGGGGGGCAGGGTTATTGAAATATCGGCAGGTTGGGGAGGGGAGAGCCGGGAGACAGATGGGAAGATGGGGGAGAGAGCGGTCTTGACAAGGGATTGACGGGTTTTCATAGGGAAAAAAGGTTACTGGAGGGGAGGGTCTTCACGGTGGGGGGAGAAGGGAGTTGGGGAGAGGTCTCCATAGGGGAAATAGAAAATGGCTGGGATTTTCCCCGGGAAAAATGGGAAGGGGCTGGAGAGTGGGGTCTCCAGAGGGAAAAAGGGAGATGGGAGTATCTCACTATAGGAAAGAGTCTAAGTGGGCAAAAATGGGTGGGTGGCTGAAACAGGGGTCTTGCCACAGGGAAGCCACGGTGGCTGAAGATCTCCGTGGGTTAAGAAATAGAGGCCGAGAAGGTCTCTGCATGAAAATGGGTACCTCGGAAGAGCTCCAAAGAAAAAAGATGGATGAGGCTCCCCACGCTGGAAATGGGGCTTGGGTGGGGGGCGTTAATCTCTATGGGGAGGTTGGGGCGGGCAGTGGCGAAGATCACTGGGATGTCCGAGTTGGCTAGCGGGAAGCCTCCACCCGGGAGGTCAATGCGGGCAGTGGGGAAGGAAGTCCCGGGGAGGTCCAGGTTGGCTGGTGACTGGGGGGGGGGGGGTCTCCACCCGGACACCGGGTTGACTGGCGGGCTGGGGGAGATCGGGGTTAGCTGAGAGGGAGGACGAGGAGTTTCATGGGGGAGATCAAGTTGGCCATGAGAGCAGTTTTCCGCGGGGAGGCCGGGGTCGGCCCGAGGGTGGGGATTAACCCGCACAATCCCAGCCTCACCGTCCGCCAGGGCTTCACTGCACTCGAAGCTGATCTCGAACCGGAAGGGGCTGTGGAAAGGGCTCGGGTTCTCCAGTACCGCCACGTTCAACACCGACACCTTGGCCATCGCCTCGCCTCACTGCGCTGCAGCAGGGGCAGGGGCAGGGGCTGTGGCCAAGGCCGCGTCTGGGTCCGGTGGTGAGGTCAGCGGGGTAGGGTTGACAAACCCCACACCAAACTCTTCTCTCCGCGGACTGAAGTGCGCATCTCGTACGCGCGCCGCCTTCAAATAGCCGGCCTCCGCCCTCTGGCCAATCACCGCCAACGCTCCCTGGCGGCGCGCGCACCCTCTCAGCCAATCCTGGAGCGCCAGTCGGCGCGCGCCCAGACTCCTTGGACCAATCAGCGGAGCTCCCTCTCCGCGGAGCGTGAGGAGGGTGGAACCACCTCCAGGCTTCTTAGCGTGTCCTCTGGGAACCAATCCCCAGCGTCTCCGACTAGGAGGTCAACGGCAGGAGTGGACAGAGTCAGAGCGCCGGCCTCCTGCTGGCCAATCCTGAGGGTTCCCGCACCGGCGTGGCCCGCCCCTCGTCCCGCTATTCCGGGATATGTATCCCGCAGCGCGCAGCGCCGCCAACCGCCGAGCGGTGGCGCGCGGTGCTCGCTAAAGAAGGCGGGAAGGGCGGTGCTCGCACCCCCAGTGATTGGCAGGAGGGAGTGGGGCGGAGATAAAGAGGGTTTTTTGAGAGTTGATTGGCTGGATTGGTAATGAAAGCGGGAGCCTAAGGAGGCTCAGCTGGGGATTAGTTGGAGAGAAGCGGAAGTGGGAGTTACCCTGGTGCCGGGGTGTGTGAAGAGAGAGGAGGAGCGTTTGCGGCCTCAGCGTCTGTTCAACAGGTGAGCGTCTGCTGGAGCTTTTCTGAGTGGCTGGCTCCTGACCTCGAGGTGCAGCAGCCCGGGTGTCCGTTGTGAACGTTGTGAACGTTCGGAGTGGCGGTCACGCGCCGCGCTCGGACCTCGGGAGTCTGGCCGAGTTTGGATCCCGTTCTTGCCCCCGAGGGGTTGGAATCCCTTTCTCGCCCCCTGGTGGGCTCTTGGGAGGTTTCAAGCGGACGGAACTGAAAATGGGAGTTCCAGTTCGAGTCGGTGCTCTGCTACTCGGCTTTCGAGGCAGCGTCTCCCTTCCCATTGAACGGGCCGTGGAAATTCCCTGGCATGACTCATGACCACATAATACATCCAGAAACTTCTCTCCGCCGCATCCCACCTGGGCCGTCGCCTGGGAGACTGTCCCACGGGAAATCAGCGCTGCCCAGTGGAAAAATAATGCCTGCCGCGCACCTAATTATACATTTTTGGAAGCCACTTAAAAAAAAACCGAGTCTCGCTGTGTGGCCCAGGCTGGAGTGCAGTGGTTCCATCTTGGCTCACTGCAACCTCCACCTCCCAGGTTCAAGAGACTCTCCTTCCTCAGCCACCCCGGAGTAGTTGGGATTACAGGCGCACACCACCATGCCTGGGTAATTTTTGTTTTTTTCGTAGAGACGGAGTTTCTCCATGTTGGTCGGACTGGTCTCGAACCCCTGACCTCAAGTGATCCGCCCGCCTCAGGCTCCCAAAAGTGCAAGAATTACAGGCGTGAGCCACAGCTCTGAGCCGCTAACACACAGCGTGTTGCGTTCTTTTACCCAGTGAAAAGACGTTGAGATTCCTTGTGTTGTACACTCAGCTGCACGTCTGTCATCGGGCATGTGAATACATTTTCTTCAAAAAATCGTTGATCTGGTTTCTTATGTTTCATAAGGTTTGCAGTTGAAAATGTAGATTCACACATTCCTACTATTCTCGACGTACTTCAGAGTCTTCCACGAGCTCAATTTTTGTATTTTTTTTTTTTTTTGAGACGGAGTCTCACTCACCTACCCAGGCTGAAGTGCAGTGGTACGATCTCGACTCACTGCAGCCACCACCTCCCGGGTTCAAGCGGTTCTCCTGCCTGTCTCCTGAGTAGCTGGGATTACAGGTGTGCACCACCACAACCAGCTAATTTCGTGTGTGTATTTTTAATAGAGACAGGGTTTCACCATGTTGGCCAGGCTGGTCTTGAACTCCTGACTTCAAGTGATCTGCCCACCTCGGCCTTCCAGAGTGCTGGGATTACAGGTGTGAGCCACTGCGCCCGGCCATGTCTTTTTTTTTTTTTTTTTTTAATTTAAATTTTACTTTGTTTAAAAATTAAATTTTAGAGTCTGGGCATGGAGGATTTCTTGAGGCCAAGAGTTCAAGATCAGTCTGGGCAACATAAAAGAATAAGCCAGGTGTGATAGTGCACACTTGTACTCTGCTACCTGGGAGGCTGAGACAGGAGGATCACTTGAGCCCAGGATGTTTAGCCACTGCACTCCAGGCTGTGTGTCAGAGTGAGACCCTGTCTCTAAAAATTAAAATTAAATTTAAAAAAAAGTTCAGGGGGCTGGATGCAGTGGCTCACACCTGTAATCCCAGCACTTTGGGAGGCCGAGGCAGGTGGATCACAAGGTCAGGAGATCGAGGCCATCCTGGCCAACATGATGAAGCCTCATCTCTACTAAAAATACAAAAAAAATTAGCTGGGGGTGGTGGTGCATGCCTGTAGTTCCAGCTACTCTGGAGGCTGAGGCAGGAGAATTGCTTGAAACAGGAAAACAGAAGTTGCCGTGAGCCGGGATCGAGCCACTGCATTCCAGCCTGGTGATAGAGCGAGACTGTCTCCAAAAAACAAAAAAAAAAAGGGCGGTTTAGTCTTGATAGCCACTGTTGGGTGCTCCTGAGCCCCGGTGACAAGTGGCTACTGTATTACTGGACAGCGGAGGTGTCCAGTAATAATCAAAACACATTTGATCAGGTCACTTCTCAGGATGAAAACGTCTTCCAAACTCTGTGCTTTGTCTCCTGTTAACCACCCAGCTCCAACTTCAACCCAGCCTAAGTAGCCCTCTTATTGTTAAAAATCCAACAAGCCGCCAGGCGTGGAGGTTCACACCTGTAATCCCAGCACTTTGGGAGGCCAAGGTGGGCAAGGTGGGTGGATCACAAAGTCAGACGTTGGAGACCAGCCTGGCCAACATTGTTAAACCCCGTCTTTACTAAAAAAAAAAAAAAAAAAAAAAAAAAAAAAAAAAAAATTAGCTGGGCATGGTGGCATGTGCCTGTAATCCCAGCTACTCAGGAGGCTGAGGCAGGAGAATCGCTTGAACCTGGGAGGTGGAGGTTGCAGTAAGCCGAGATTGCACCACTGTACTCCAGCTGGGTGACAGAGCAAGGCTCTGTCTAAAAAAAAAAAAAGATCCAACAAGCCACTCCCAGCACAGAGCTTCCGCCCAGAACATCTTCTCCTGGGCTCTTGATATGACTTATGCCTTCTTGTCATTCAAGTCTTGGTTCAGATGTCCTCTCCCCAGAGAGGCCTTTCTAAGGGTGCCCTGGACAGTGTTCACACTCATAGGCCGTAAGCCTGAATAGCTCTGACCCAAGCCACTAGCATTTCTTCCCCAGATACCTCTGTAGGTTCACTAGGACTCACTCACTATGCTAGGCATAGGATTCCTTTTCTTTTAAAGAATCTAGTTCCTGTGGGATTTTTTTTTTTTTGAGGTGGAGTTTCGCTCTTATTGCTCAGGCTGTAGTGCTCACCACAACCTCTGCCTCCCAGGTTCAAGCAGTTCTCCTGCCTACTACTCAAGCTACTCTCTCGAGTAGCTGGGATTACAGGCATGTGCCACCACTCCTGGCTAATTTGGTGTTTTTAGTAGAGATGGGGTTTCTCCATGTTGGTCAGGCTAGTCTCGAACTCCTGCCCTCAGGTAGTGGGCCCCTTTACCCTCCCAAAGTGCTGGAATCACAGGTGTGCGCCACCATGTGTGGCCTTTTTTTTTTTTTTTTTAATAGAGTTCTGTTGCCCAGGCTGGAGTGCAAGTGGTGGCATGATTGTCGCTCACTGTAACCTCCCACCTCAGCCTCCTGAGTAGCTGGGACTGCCAGTGCATGTCCCCATGCCTGACTAATTTGTTTTACTTCTTTTTTTTTGTGAGGGAGTCTTGCTCTGTCACCCAGGCTGGAGTGCAGTGTTTCGATCTTGGCTCACTGCAACCTCCTGCTCCTGGCTTCAAGTGATTCTCCCATCTCAGCCTCCCAAGTAGCTGAGACTACAGGCACATGCTACCTTGCCCAACTAATTTTTGTATTTTTAGTAAACATGGATTTTGCCATGTTGGCCAGGCTGGTCCAAAACTCTTGACCTCAGTTTATCTGCTCACCTCAGTCTCCCAAAGTACTGGTATTACAGGTGTGAGCCACTGTGCCTGGCCTGTTTTGCTTTTAAAATGTTTTGTAGGGACAGGGTCTTGCTGTTGCCCAGGCTGGTCTTGAACTCCTGGCCTCAAGCAGTCCACCTGTTTTGGCCTTGAGTGCTGAGATTACAGCGCCTAGCCCATTTTTTTGGTACCTTCATCTCACATTAAGTTAAAAAAAAGTTTTTTTTAAGTTGTTAAAAAAATTGAAAGTTTTTTTTATTCTTTTGGATTATTTGGCTTCAAGGAAACTCACATTTATGATTCACTTGATTTCTTGGCAGTCATTGCATACTTGGGGATATTTGTGATTTGAGAAGATCTAATTTCCAAATGTAATTCAATTGCTTATGAATACTGAATTAATGATTAATGCAGTTGTCACGACATTACATTTTCAAGGTGCTTAATTAAACATTTATTCATTCCAACTTTGTAGTTTTCTCTTGGCATTGTGGAACGTTTTTCCCTTTATCCCTATCCCCGACCTTTTCCTGGCCCCTGAGAAGCTCATGAGCCACAGGCATTATTTCCACGGTGCCAGTGAAGAAAGTGGCCCTGTCTGTGATGCGTTCTCTATACAGCTGGCTGAATGGTCTTCACTGGTAAACCAGATCATGCCATTACTCTGCTTAAAACCTTCAAAGGCTTATCCTACTTAGAATGAAACCTAAGATCTTTCCTATGGCTTAGGAGGCCCTTGGTGGTGGCCTCAGCTGACCTCTCAGGCCTCGTCTCCCATTCTTCGTCTTGTCACCGCTCTCAAGCCCTGCTGGCCTTATTTCCCTTCTGTCAACACCGCAGCTTATTCCTGCGGCAGACCTTTCCCCTGGCCGTTCCTCTGCCTGGAATGTGCTTCCTCCAGATAATTGCATGGCTGTCTCACTCTCTTCACTTGTAGTTCAGCTCAAATGTCCTCTGAAAGAAGCCTTCCCAAAGTATCCCTATTTAAAGTAGCCCTTGGCCGGGTGTGGTGGCTCATGCCTGTAGCCCCAGCACTTTGGGAGACTGAGGTGGACATAACATCCGAGTGTGAGTCCAGGAGGCAGAGGCTGCAGGAGTTTGAGACCAGCCTGGCCAATATGGCAAAACCCCGTCTCTACTAACAATATAAAAATTAGCCAGGGGTGGTGGCATGCGCCTGTAGTCCCAGCTACTTGGGAGGCTGAGGCTTGAACCCGGGAAGTGGAGGTTGCATTAAGCCGAGATGGTGCCATTGTACTCCAGCCTGGGCAACAAGAGTGAAACTCCATCTCAAAATAATAGATAACTAAAGTAGCCCTTTCTTAATCACCTCACCCAGTCTTATGAACTTTGTAACACATCAGAATTTGTACTTATTTGTGGGTGTGCATGGTGGCTCACACCTGTAATCCCAGCACTTTGAGAGGCCAAGGTGGACTGTTACTTGAGTTCAGGATTTCCAGACTAGCCTGGCCAACATTGCAAAACCCCATCTCTACTAAAAAAAATATACATGGCCAGGCAGAGTGGCTCATGTCTATAATCCCAGCACTTTGGGAGGCTTTGGCGGGCAAATCACGAGGTCAGGTGTTCAAGACCAGCCTG